TTTTTTTTTTATTTTTTTTTTTTTTTCCTATGTTTGTCCCTCTGCCCTGTCTCACTCTCCCATTACAATATCCCTGCTATATACAGTTGTCTTCCAGAAGAGTTACTGAAACAGTGATACATACAAGTAAAGGGAGAGAGGCCACAAGGTCCAAACATCAGATCACATAAAGTTTTTGGTAATAGGGAGCATAAACTCCACTCAGGGTTGGATAAGGAAGGGTCTCCGGCTGATCCACAAGTGTAGGTGAGTCTCCAAGGAATGCAGTTTCAGGAAAGCAGTTCTGGTACACAGGGATAATTATCAGCTGATGCGCACAGCAGTCATCTTGTAGTTACCAGGAATGGTGTTGTGGGGGTCTGCAGTGTGAGTTGTCCTTGGGTATCTGGCTTCCTTAAAAATGGCAGAGTAGTTCTTGTTTTCCCCTGAGGTAATGCAGGGCTGGTAACTATCATCTTCTTAAGTTGCAAGTTCTTCAACCTTGTTTTCGGCCTCCGGAAATAGGAAAAAGTGAATACTACATCGGATGACCAAAAACCAGGGGGGCGCCGGCCAGGCCGTTCCCGGCGCGCGGCTCTATTTTTGTTTTTTTTTTCACATCTATTTTATCTTGCATCTTGAGAGCAAGGAATATATCCTGTCTCACGTCGTACTTAGCAGTTACCTAATAGGTATTCCATGCTTGCAGGTTTTAGTGTGCCAAGCTAGCTGTTCACTTTAAATAAAGGCTCTTGGAGCATACTGTCCCTGCAAAGTTGATCATCCTGACCTGCTACCTATCAGAATTTCCTATTAAAGCCTGTATCAAATTATTCATTGATTCTACCCCTAGATACAGACTCAAAAGAAATGTGTGTGTGTGGATAGATAGAGCTCTCTCTGTATATCTCCAAGAGAAATGAGTACCCAGCTAACCGGTGGTGCGGTGGTTAAGGTGGTTGGATCCCACATGGCTCACTGCATGGTTCAAGTTCTGGACCTGTGGCTTGAGAAACACACCGGGTACATGTGCATGTGTGTGTGCCCAAAATCCTAAGAATAAAGTAGGATTAGAAGGGATTACAGCATGTGGACATCCTCCTTGGGGGTGCTTTCTCACTCCATCTCTCTCCAGTGAGCACATGTATAATATGGCCACAACAACAAAAAAGAGTACCACATGTCCTTCAAAACATAGGTACAAAATGTTCATAGGGTCTGTATTCATTATAGCTCAGACAACCCAAACCTATAAACAGGAAAGGGATAAATAATTTGTGGCATAGTTATACACCAGAATGCTATGTGACAAATAATTAAAAGAGAATGTGGTACTGAATGCTGATGAGCGGAACAATACAGGCATATGTTATGGGCATTATACTGGGCAGCACAAGACAGATGCAAAGGAGCACATTCTTACAGTTCACTTAAATGAAGTTCAAGAACAAGCGAAACTCATTTATGGTGAGAGAAGTCAGAATATTGTTAGCACTGGGAGTGATGGTCTGCTGTTGTCTGTGAAGGGGCATGAGGACAACTTTCTGGAGCCACGAAAATGTCTGCATCTTGGTCTGAGGGGTGATTTCATAAGTGTCTCTGTGTGTAGCTGTACATCGAGATAGACATTTAAGATTTGTACGCTTTACTGTAGGTTACCAACCCAGAGCATAAAATTGTTGCTTTGTCTGGTAGCGTTGAATGATATCTGTAAACTAAACTAAATTACCCATCCTTTCACAGAGACAAAAAGAGTCAGGAGAGTTTGAAGAGAGCCTGGAATTTAATCTGAATTTAGAGAATCCGAGTGGGACCCTCATATCAGTAACTCAGGCTAAACCCGAATCCGGTGAGTGTGATGGGAGGCCCCTAGGAGGCCAGAGATGGTGGATCCTTCAAGGCTTGAGACCCGGCTCTAACCCTGCCTCTGAAATGGCAGAGTCCTCGTTTTTATGCGCCAGCTCTGATGGGATGCTGTGGAACTTGGCCGAAAGCCCTCTTGATGGAGAATGGACCACAGGTAACATCTGGCAGAAAAAAGAAGAAATGCCTGAAACCCAAGCTCCAGGGACAGACTCATCTCCATGCTCTGAATTAGATGGCAGCATGGAGAACTGGCCAACGATCCCGTGTCTGAAGACACGGCAGCGTAGAAAGGTAAGTTTGAGGGTAGGGTCACAAATACAGGGGAGGAGGCTCTGTATCTTACTTAGCAGGCTCTGATGCTTCCTTAATTCAGAAGGGCCCACTAAGAACTCACTGCTCTCCCCCTCCTCTCTGAGATTCACTCGGGCTCTGTCACAGCCCTCCATGTGCTGCCACAGTTGCTGGTGACAGCGTCAAAGGACAGAGATGTTAAGCTGTGGGAGAGACCCAGTATGCAGCTGGTAAGTGTGTGTGGGTATGGGTGCGTGTGTGTGTACATGTGCAAAAGGAAGTTCAGAGGGGGGCATAAAAGAGCTAAGAAAGGACAAAAGTGGGACCAGCAGATGGTATGATGGATACATCACTGGACTCCCACATGGTGGAATATGGTTTGAGTCCTGGACCTGGCATCTTGAAACTCACGCTGGTTCATGTGTATGTGTGCCCAAAATCCCGAGAGGAGAATGGAGAAGGGATTGTGGCATGAGTATTCCTTCTGGGGAGGGCGGGGCGGGTAATTTCTTGCCTTCTCTTTTTCTCTCTGTATTCCGGCAAGCATACACACCCAATAGCAAAATCTCTTTAAAAAAAACAAAAAAGAAAGAAAGGACAACAGTTTGGTGCCAGCAAGTGGTGTAGTGTTTGTGATGCTGGACTTCCACAGGACCAATGGCAGTTTGAGTCCTAGACCTGGCAGCTTGAAACTTAGGACAGGCGCATGTGTGAGCGTGCCCATACCCCCCCGGGGGGGGTGATTTATCACTTTTTCTGTCTTTGTGTGAATGTAGGTGTCCTATAGGAAAAATTTCTTTAAAAAAAAAAAGGACAGAAGATCAAAATTCTATTTTGCTCAGTCTCTCTCACAATAATATATGACTAATATTTTTAAATGAAAGGCATTGATGGGAGAGAAAAATAAGGCCCTAGGCTTGTAGCCCTTACCTCCCCCATTTTTGTTCCCATTGTAGCTGGGCCTGTTCCGATGTGAAGGGGCAGTGAGCTGTCTAGAACCTTGGGAGGGCCCTAACTCTGCCCTGAAACTCGCTGTGGGAGACGCACAGGGCAACGTATACTTTCTGTCCTGGGAATGAAGAGGCACAACACAGGGAGAAGATGATACCACTTGTGCTAGAAATGCAAAGCTGGAAGACGCCAGTAGCTACTTTCTCAATAGGATTATAAAAATAAAATGCCAGAAAATCTCAAGCGCAGGCCTGCTTGTGTTCTTGTGTGGATTTTTGATCAGATGGGGAGAATGTGCATGTTCAAAATGTTGGGGTTTTTTGTTTGTTTTTTACTGATTTAGCATTAATCCTTACTAGGACTACAAAAAATGTGAGTCAGATCTTTAGTAGGAGTCTTTGAAACTAGGCTGTAGAATTCTTGTACTACTTGTTGGCCCTGGGACGCTAGGGTACCACTGTAGTCTGGAGGAAGCAGAGGAGTGATGTTGGCCAGCACTTGGATGGAATAGAGCTGAAGACCTCTCATCTGGTCAAGAAAGAAGAGTGAGCCACTCCCACATGGCTGATCATGGTTTGGGTCCCTGACCCGGTGACTTGAAAGTCATGCCGTACGCGTGTGTGTGTGCATCCAGGATCCCAGGAGTAGAATGGAAGAGAAGAGACTGTGGTGTGACCATCCCCCCCGGGGACTGATTTCTCACTTTCCCTCTCACTTTCTCTGTCTGTCTCTCCAGTGAACACATGTACCCTATGGCAAAAACCCCTTGAAAAAAAGTGAGTCATTAATTACTCATGCACTTAGAAAGAATTGGGATACAACGAGGACAAGGAATTGGGATACAACAAGGACAACAGTAGGTTTCTCATAGCAGAACTGACTGCCCAGATGAGAGGTGAGAAACCAAGGCTGAATGACACTCCTTGTTCTCACCACCTCTGACAGGGCAGCAGCAACAGCTACTTGGCTTGCAAACAGATCATAACTGGCATTCTTGGAAGAGATCACAAAAGTATACCTGTCTCAAATTGAAGTTCACAAAGGTTAGGATGAGTTGAAATGTGGAATATTAAAAAAAAGGGGGGCACAGCAGGTGGCATGGTGGATAAGTGTACTGGACTCCATGGCTGACAGTGGTTCAAGTCCTGAACCTGGTGGCTTGCTTTCTCAATTTCCCTCTCTGTCTCTGTTTCTTTCTGGTCAAATTAAAATAACAATGATGATAAAATCATTCTGCTCAAAAAAGGAAGGTGAAATAATCATACCTATGGACTTATTGTGGATTCCAATACTCTCAAGTAAAAGTTCTAGACTTTTTTTATCTTCCTAAAATTCTATTCTATGGGAGAGGAAGTTCCCTTACATTCTTTCTTTCTAGAGATTAAGAAGAAGATGTCGGGGAACCAGCAGTTAGCGTAATGGCTATGTCACTGAACTCCCACGTAGTCGACCGCGGTTCGCGTTCCGGACCCGGTGGCTTAAAATTCACGCTGGGCGCGTATGCGTGCGTGCCCAAGATCCCGAGAGGAGAATGGAGGAGAAGGGATTGCGGCGTGACCATCCCCCCTGGGGGGTGATTTCTTGCTTTCTGTCTCTGTGTCTCTCTCTGTCTGGCGAGCGCACGCGCCCTATAGCAAAAACCTCTCCAAAAAAAAAAAAAAAGAAGAAGATGTCTTCCGTACCCAAAAATTCATGGGCTTGTGTATGATACACCAGGGCTATTTATAGGAATTGTTATCCTGGGTTGGTAGGGTTCTCTCAGAAATTCTATCATGCTGTGGTCTACAAATGAATGTGGAAAACCCAGGAAGCTGAGATACTGCATTTTGCTTTCACTTTGCCCTAATTGCAGGTCTTACATGGAGAAATCACCTGAGGGACTTGATCTGATATTTACCCCCATCTAATGCCCCATGGTCTCCCCCAACCAAAAGACATGAACTGATAAATTGTGATAGATCATGCCTGTATCTTTTCTTATGTGCCTCATGCAAGGCCTCTAAACATATCTTCTGGACTACCACTTTCACATGTACCTTATGACTAGAAGTCCCAGTTAAGGTCATTTGAAATCTGTGACCCATTATCTTATCCAGAAATCCTGCAGAGAATCATGAATGGCATCATCCTATAAGCCACTGGTTTTAATCTTCTGCTTTTTTGCTCCCCTAAAAGTATGAGCCAATAGCAGACCTGCTGGCTTGTTTTCTCACCTTCCCTCTCTCTCATTCTGTCCCTCTCTGGTCAATTAAAATAAAACTAAATAAAGTAATTCTGAAAAAAAAAAGCATCCTGTATATGCCAAATTTAATATATATATGTAATAAATATTTTTTTAAAAAATTATTTAATTTTATTCATTCATTTATTTTAATTTGACCAGACACACACACACACACACACACACACA